AGGCACCTCTCCCGTTTCCCAAGACTTGGAACTGAAACTGTTAGTTTCAGCCCCTTAGACGAGACTTAGCTGAAAAGTAAAATCACTAAATAGAAAATTAGTTCTGTTTACTCAAACCAGGACAAGGCACAGTACCATGAACCTGAGTACATGCTGCCAGTCAGAGTTACATTTTCCAGTGACCTGGTATTTAGCCCCTGTTACCTTGTTTCCATACCTGTAGTTTGCTGTGCAGACTAGTACATATGCTACCATGAAAAATTAAGGTTACAGTTTTATTCTGTGAGATTTCTGATACAACTTTACGTTTTCTTTGTAATGTAGCAAAGAAAAAGCCTCATGGCTAATAGAAGCACTAGGAAAATGTCACAGTTATAGCATCAACTGCAGATGTACACCCTGTCTCCCAGCCACAGAAGCAAATGATGCTTTTCAGAAATACACGTACAAATGTAAAATACTTAGGGTACTGGTTTAAAAAAAATTTCTTGCTAAATCTTGTCCTGTTGTTATAACTCATACTTCCATCTCTTATGCCCTGTTTATTGATTGGGTTGTCACTTGTGACAGATAGTTGTTTTTCCTCCCTGTTATGAAGTGCTGAGCGCGTGCTGAGCACTATGTAGCTTTGAGTATTACACCGTTCTCATCGCAGGAGTCTCTGAGCACTGTGTAATGAAAGTAATCTCACTTTTATGTATCAGAAGTTTGAAGCTTTTTGCTCTTATAATAGCTTTAAAATTGTTTCTCTTTGTCAGTGGGTGCTGCTTCCTAAAAGGGTACCAAACACATGGCTGAGGTTTGATCTTTAATTCTGCTGTATGTGACATTGTTGTGCATATTGTTAACTCTTATTGTATGTTGCTCTACAGATAAGTTTAGTGAGGACTGATGAGGTGAAAGAAACGTAGAGATCTGTAGGCTGCTTTTTTTTTTAAACATAATACAGTGCTAAAATTCTTCTGCTTTGTGGAGACGTGGTAAAAGGTATCATGTGGTTCATTCAAAGTTGGATCAGATGAAAGATTTGAAAAATCTGCAGGCATTGTCAGGGGCACAAAGTAGATCTTACACATCTCTCTTTTCTGTGGTTATTATACTTAGTTAACTATATTATATGTTGAAGAGCACAAAATCATTTTATCTATAACCCCTGGCTAAATTTTTAAATCTGATTCTTCAAGTGCAGGAAAACTTGTCATCTTCAGTCAGAAATTCACTGAGTCTTGTAAGCTATTAAAATCTCAGAGAGTAGCATTTATTCCAGAAATACCTAATAGCTCCACTGCAGAGAAAATCCCATTTGCTGGCATTTAGAGCCGATAGAGAATCACAGGCCTGGAATGGTCACCTAGAGCAGTCCTCTACTTCACACTGGGTCAGTTGTATGTGTGTCGTTGGAGAGTGGTGTTTGTCTAATCTTTTTACAAATATTTCCAGTGACGGAGACTCTTCTGTCTCCTCAGGCAGTTGGTTTTAGATGGTATGGTTTGAAATGCCTTTATCAGATTTTTTGAGTATCTGACCTGACTCCATGATGTAATTTGGGTGCAGGCTGAATATGAAGAACTGATTGTTCCCTTCCTCTCTGCAGCGGCCTTTTATATTTAAGACTGTCTTGCCCTCTGAATCCCTTCTCCATGGGCTTTATTTTGTTCAATCTTTTTTTATAGATCTTGTTTTGCAATCATCATTGTCTTTACTCCCTAATCCCTTCCTATATGTGGACATCTTTGTTGACGTGTGATGCCCGGAACTTGTGCGGCACTCTGGTCAACGTTACCAATGCCAAGTAGACCTGAAATACTGCTTCACGTGTTTCTCAAGCCATGAGGCTCTTTATACAACTGACAGCAGCTCGATAGAAATTGCTGATTCTGATATTTTATTTTTGGTATTTTGTTGGTTATTTTAATTAAGAAGAAAATCAAACTAACTGCTTCTGCTTGTGTTCTTAGTCTGCCATTTCCAGTGGATGCTGGTGATGGAGGTGGAGATATAAGTGCCAGTGTACATTCTCAAATGCACAGAAACTCTTTTCCAAGGAAGGGTTTGACTGAGCAACAGAAGGAAGGCATTGATGTGGTGAGGAAACTGATGCATAATCTGGATGAAGAAGGAGGGCTGGAAGAAATTTATACTTTCAGGTAAACTTGGCTATTCCTCTTTATCACACTGTAAATTTACTTTCTGATTTCCTCCCCAAAAGATGAAACCAATTAAGATGAAACAGTCAGTCACTTGGCTTCCGATTTCACTGAAATCAGTTAATTTTGTGACTTATATTACACTTAATTCCTTTCAAACAGCTTCTTCAGTGGCTTTAGAATAGGTAGAAAAACTTACAGATTTCACTGGAAAATGAATTGTCTAGATCTGTATTTAAATTAAAAAAAATCAGTTTTCTTCCGTATTTAGTGTTGGTGGATTTTGGAGGGAATGTTTCTATAAATGAGCTTTCAAAAACTTATTTTGGAAAGAGTTGGAATTTGTGACATAGTGTGGGTAGAAAATCTGCGTTTAACAGTAGCCTTTTTTCCTTGCTCTCAGACTTCTTTTAGCTCCCTAGTTTATCAAACTCCCAGAAATGTTTTGAGTGATGTTTTTTGTTGAATCCTGCTTTTTAATCACAGACAACTGTGCAACTGTGCCAAACAGTATACTTTTTTTTAGAAGCATTCCTAGGGCAAGAATTGAAACGTGGTTTTTCACTTGATGTTTACCCAATGAAAGAATAAAAATATGTGTGCATCTGAAAAACTGTAGCTAATGGTCCGTCCAAGACTCTTCCATGTAGGTGTTGTCTCAGCTGGGAAACAAGCAAAATACATCTATGCACCTTATAAAAGTCTGATTTTCTTGTCTTAGTAGTTCTGTTCTGCAGTTACAAAGTGTCATCTTTTTGACAAAATGGTTTTCAGGAAACTTAGTAGACCATAGCTGTAACGTGATTAGCAAGTATAATTTTTAGATGAGATGCCTGTGTGTTTGCATGCTGTTATTCATAATTTTATTTGTGGGATTTCCTTCCCTCACCCTGCCCAGCTGATCTGACAAGGGAGGTTCAGGTTAGAGATAAGGAGGAAGTTCTTTACTGAGAGGGTCGTCAGAAGCTGGAACAGGCTGCCCAGGGAGGTGGTGGAGTCACCATCCCTGGATGTGTTTAAAGAGCGGGTAGACGAGGTACTTAAGGGTATGGTTTAGGGGGTAGACAGGAACGGTTGGACAGGATGATCTCAGAGGTCTTTTCCAACCGAGTGGTTCTGTGATTCTGTGATCTCCTTTGCACCTCAGCAGCCAGTTAAGCTGTTACTTCAACGTTAGTGTGGATTAGTGAAGAAACACGTATCCCTGTGTGTGTAGCCAATACTACTCAACAGAGCAGTCTTGAGGCTAGAAAAAAAGCAGCCTTTGTCATTGCATCCAAAGACAGCACAGAAAAGCAGTATTTTTCTGGGCCCGTTTAACTGTTAAGATAATCCATGTGCATGAAGCTATGATGTGGCTTGGCCCCTTTGTATATTTTAATGACAGGTTCTTGCCACTGTATAAGCTGTCTTTGTGCCATGTTTTCATGGGAAATGTAAAATCTTTGGATAAATAGGCATTTTGGGGTGAAGAGATTAAAGCTTTAGTTGTTTAAGTTGTTTAAGAATATGAGACTTTAGATGCAGTTAAGTTGCTTATCAAGCTGAAGAAGTTAGCCTTGCAAATGTATTGCGATAATTTACCAACTCTGATGATACACTCTCTGTTTTCCTATAGTCATTATACCTGCTGGTAAAAATATTTCAACTCCAGTGAAAATAAATTAGTCATGCAGGAACATAAGTGGGAAAAGTTTGTTGTATTGTGTTAAGGTTTGATATTCTGACTATCAGCCTCTGGGTTTTGGCGGAAGGGATTGGAGAGCAGTAGAGAAGAGATGTGTTTTTAAAACACAGATTGAAATATGCATTTACTAGGGTTTTACTGGCTGAGGCTTCTCTAATAACAGGGATAATTTTTCTTCTATAAACATAAGAAATTAAAGGATTGAATTAAAGAATTTATTAATTTAAAGAATTAATAAATTTAGCCTAAATTACATTTTTAGGCATTTGACACTTGGGTATTTGATTTTCACATTCATCCTTGCATGTATCTGTTGCAGCAGTTTTAATGATGTGCTAACAGGTTCTTTTTAAAAGTCCTGTATTGATTGCCAGAAAAAGTAATATTTGCTCCCTGCCTTTCTTTCCCCAAAGGAAAAAAAAAAGGAAATAAAATGTTTATCTCATTATAAAAAATCCCAGTGCATTTTCTCCTTTCCCTATTAGAATTTTCAGAAACTCCTCATTCACCCTAAGAAATTTGAAAAGTAGAATAACAAGTTGAATTCTGTACTAATTTTGTAGGAGTTGATCTTAATTTTTGCCAGACAAGTGCTTTACTCAAGAGAGAGGTAGATTTTGGGTTTTATCATCATGTGAAAAAGGTGAGGTCAACGCTGTTTTCTTTTTGCTTCATCATGCAATAAAAAAAAAACCTGAGTGCTTTCTCTGCACTGGAATTTTATAGCAAAGTAGCTGATCCAGTTTGCGTTAGCTGAAAGCTGTTGTGGGGTGCAAGCCCATTTGATTTCACAATAATATATTATAAATTACTTTTACTGTCAATTTCTAATTTTTGGACTCCATTGCTTCAAGTTGTGCAGCTGAGTAAACACTCTGGTGTAAAATCATCACAGTTCCTTTTTGTAGCATTTTTATGGACTTGCATATGTGCTGTTCAGGCTAGAAATGTTCAAAGTAATTTTTTTTGCTCTAACTGAATGCCCAAAAAAATGGAGTTCATTAGTACTGTATTAAAAAAAAAAGTGTCAGAAGTTAATTACCACACAAACAAAATCCTGTTAATTGAAACTGAATTCTTTATTTCTTCACCTCTACTGCAGAGAACATTTTACTGCTTAGAGCAGTCTCTTCTAATTTCAGTTGTTCAGCTAACTGCATGCCCTAATTGGGTGAGCACAGATAAATGTAAACTGCTTAATAAGCAATTGTGTAGTTCCATCACAAGACCTACTGACAAACTCTCTTTAAACCCTAATGTTACACCATCACAAAGGCTCAAGATGGGAATAATCTACTGTACCGCCTCTTTGTTTTCCTTCTCTTTTCTGACAATAGTTAATGACAAGATTATTCATACGCTTTATTTTCTAATGCTTTATGCAGTCTAAGGTGAAACAATTGGACTTGTGCATCTCCTTGAAGAGAGTGTATTGTCTGTAGTATTTTATTACAGTTCACTGGAGCTCATTTCTGTTTTCCTGATTCCTTCATTTAGAAAAAGCCTGGAGCGTCTTTCAATGTTTAAGAAAATAGAAAGAAGACCTATGCCTTGGCCCTGTCAGCTCACTATTGGTCCTAATTTGTCTATAAGGATTGTGGCCTACAAATCAGTAAGTTCATAAAGTTGTACATTTTAGTGTATTTTGGCAGCAAGTTAAGTGCAGCTGCATGTTTTTTCCTTAAAGCTAAGAAAATAAAAGATAAAACAACATCCAAAATAATTATGGTAGAGATTTTATGTGCGTAGAAGCCAGTACATCTGAAACTGTGGTTCCCACAGCAGCTCTTAACTTCGCTATATTGTACACATATGTTAAAGAACTAAAATTCACAATGTGCAGAAATAGAAGTACTTGTGATCTACGCTGTGACACTTAATGGTATTGCAGCTGATGAACCTGAATAAAAATGCTGCGATTGTGTGAAGCTTTCCGTTCAGCATCAGTGATAGGTCTGCAGCTCAAGGAGACTTAATACATGTTTCTTAGGCATGAGAGGTATTACGCACATGTGTATGTAGAATGGTGGGTGTAAATTATTTACCAGCTATTGTTTCGAATTGCATCTATTGTTATTTCAGTCTTGGAAATAAAAGATGTATTTTTTCAGCTTGTTTGCTTTATCCTGTTTAGCAGAGCTTGTGTACAGTCAGTGTATATGGATTCTTCACACAGTGCTAGGAAGAAGGAAGTGTATTTAAGCACAGAAAATGTGCAAAATTCCAGTTATTGAATAAGTAATAGATATCTCTATAGTGTGGCAGCATGCATGGATGTGGTGAGATGGAGATTAATTATTTGAACCCAGGAAGAGAAGTCTGTCCGATGTTGCACCGTTGCAAGATGTATTATGAAGTTGAAATATATCTGATTTCTGAGAGATAGGAATGCCAGCCTTGAAAGTGATCTCTGCTGCCAGCTTTCTATTTGTACTTATTCATAATTTTTAAAATTAGGATATTGTGCTAAACCTGTACAAATATGCAATAAAAATCCCCTCCCGAAGGTGTTTACACACAAAATAAATGAAGCTTGGGAGAGTAAGCAACATGAACAGTGTGACTAGCCTGAGGTCATACAGCAGTTGGATCAGAGCTAGGAATAGACTTGTGGTATCTACTGACATAATCTATTCTGTCTTTTCTGTTTTGTGCCTAGTTCTCCATTTTTCTTCTCATTCACTAAGTGTACCATCAATTTCACTTAAGTAGAGAGAAAACAAAGCATTTTTCTCTCCCTGTAGTGGGGAAACATTCATTTATTGCAGATATTTATTGCCTCTTTCCCCTCCCAGTCCCGTAATGCAACTGAGATCTTTTTCTGCCTTTGGGGAAGTTGCAGTACCATAGAGTGTATTTATCGTGTAGTAAACCTGATGCAAAACTTGGGCAAACAAGCTGAATGAGCACTGAATCTTCTTGTATCTTTAACATATATCTTAATGCTTTGTTAGAAGCGTTTATGTAAGTGGAGGAAGAGGAATACATAGCAGGGAAAGTACATGTTGTCTTGTCACTAAAAGACTTCCACAAATGACTTAGCTAATGACATTAATGAATGAATACGCAGTCAATATGATATAGTTCAGGTGTTAGGTCTCATACAGATGAAACAGTGTGCTGAAAGCACTGGGGGAGCTGTCAGCGATGCATATTTGGGGCTGTCATTATTAGTCCCTTGCTGGCAAAATAATACAGCGCTCGGTCTAAGAATTTTTTGCATATTCTGCTAAGCATTCTGGATCTCACAGAAATGTTAAACATTCCTTTTGTTTGAACTTACAAAGGTCACAGAAGAGAAGGTGAAAAAAATTTGGTCAGTTGTGGATGCTAAAACCCTCAGAAAAGAGGATGTGCAAAAAGAAACTGTTTACTGCTTGAATGATGATGATGAGACAGAGGTTCAGAACACTGATACTATTCAAGGTATGACTTCTTTATGTGCACCCTGAAGGCAGCGTGAAGATAATTCCTGGTACTTTTACATCACCTAAGGGACTTTTAGTTTTATACTTTGAAGCCTAGCTCTGGTCTTAGAATGTAAACTCTGTAAGCTGCTGGAACATGGAAACTGTTTGTCTTCACGTATTTTAAAAATTCTTACTTTTGCCAGTAATAGAAATAATAATAATACCACCAGGTGGAACTTGGAACTCACTACAGGTTCCCAAAATGTCTGCTGTGAAGGACCATACCTCAGGTCTGTAGTGAGTAGTGCTGCTACCTCTTTTCTGCTTTAAAATCTTCAGTTGTACTGATAACAAACACTTTCATAACACTGCTTTTTTGCTAGATAAGCAACTATTCTAGATATTCTGCAATTGAGAAGATGAAAACATTAAAACAAGGCTTAGTGTTCAAGAGTATTAGCTTTGCTGTTTAAATTCCACAACAGGTCCAATCTGAAGTAGTGGTATGCAGAGTGCTTGTTTTATAACCTTCAGCTTCTTTCCGAGTGCTTTAAATTCCTTGGAAGACTAAAGACCCCAGGTACCACATGAAATAGTCTCCTTCTTAAAAATGGAGTTAAGCAAATATGTTTAATTTTTTGCAATTATATAGATATATTTTATTGCTATTTTTTTTCTTTCCTTTGCTATTTCAATGCCACGCAAGTAAGGCAAGTGTATTAACTCTGAAGGTCAGAGCTATTCACATAACAGTATAGAAAGTGCTGTCAAGTGAATAAAATTAATTGAAAAATGAAGATAAATGCTGTATTTTTTTATTTAACCTCATTCAATTGCAGCAATCATAGCTGTTTTGTAGCAGTAGCAGATAAAAATGTCCTAATGACAGTGTGGCTTTTATTTCTTTAAGCAGAAATGATATTTAAAAGCTAGTAGTTTGTTTATGTTTTATAACTTCAAAACTTTTAGTAAAATTAAAAAAGAATCCACTTCTTACAGTGACTATATTTTGAAGCATTTGTGGCTGTTCTCTGCTGATGTTCTGACTGCATAAGTCAGTGAGTAGTTGCGGGATATTAGTGTGAAAAAGTGATGAACAGTTCAATGTGAACAAAAGAGACGAAAAATTTCTCTATCAATGATGTGATATTTCTTACAGTTGAAGAGCTGCTGACGCCTCATGGACTTTTGTGGACATTTTGAGAAATGTCATAGTCAATATTTAGCATTTGAAGCTCTAATACTGAAATTGCTTTCATTCTGCCTGTGTGTTTGCTTTTCAGTTCCCAGGAAAATTTATGTACAAACAGGTTTTTCATCTGGGGGTTTACCTCTGTTCCTCATGCTTTCTATTCACCTGGGGATATAATCCTTAGTCTGTGACAGTAATAAAGTTATGATGTTATAAGGAGGATATAGGAGCTTGAGGTGGGGAAATAAGCAGCTGGAGCAGATGATACCTCTGAGAAACTAACAGCTTCCTATGTTGTGGAGATATCTGTAATGTAAGGCACAGGAAGAAAAACACAGAAATGTTTAGAAAGACCACTTCTGCATACAAGTGTGTTTTCACTGTCCATTGCTTGTGAGTAGTGGTAGCTCACACTGTTAACACATTTTGGTCTCTGAAGCCCTTCTGGTGTCATTTCCTGTCCATGATTTGTGGTATGTTTTGGGTTTTTTTTGTATTGCATTTGCAGGGGCTGTTGCAGTGTATTTGTTGAAATCTGTTCTGATTTGCTTAAGTCTGTTCTGTGAGCATAACTTTGTTGGTCAAGATGTTCAGTTTCCGTGTTTCCTGCTCTTTACAAGGGTAGCCACGTTACATAAAACAGTGTACAAGGAATGCAACTGCTGTTCGTGAAGTACAAAATGTGTCTATGGGGTGTGTGGGTTTTTTTGTTAACAGGGAAAGTAATTTGACGAGTGTGTGGAGTGTAGCTGTGGGGTATGCATGCATTGATAAAATATTCAGAGAGCTAATTTCAGTGTTAGAATTGTAGGCCCATATGCTTACCAGATGCTCTTCTCTTGTTCTCCAGGGTTTCGCTATGGAACTGATATAGTTCCTTTTTCCAAGGAAGATGAAGAGCAAATGAAATACAAAACAGAATCGAAATGTTTTTCTGTTCTGGGATTCAGCATGGCCTCTCAGGTACAGTACAAAACGTCTTCCAGTTCAGCTTCCAGGATTGTTCAAGACAATTGATTTCAGTTTGAATTCATTAAGTTATGGAGGTGTACTGAGTTCCAGTATTGGAAATGAGGCATCTGCAGTCAGGTATACAGGGGTGACTTATTTGCCGATTCCACATGTAAACAGTGTGTAGTCTTGTGAAGGAGAGAAGATCCTAAATGTGGCCGCTGGGCTCTCAAGTGACGCAAGAGCCACTGAACTCAGATCTCTGCAAGGTAGAGAAAGGTATTGTTTCATCTCATGAACTTAAATGGTGACGTCAGATCTGCAACAGAAGATGGTCTCTCTTCTGTTCAGGTCATGCAAAAGCCTTTTTCGGCCTTGTTCAGCCACAACTGACTGTTCAAAAACTCTCCATATTTCAGTGAGATGCTTGGTATTTGTATGCACTTACCTGTACTTGTGGTATTAACTTTGGCATTCATTTTATCCGGAAGTTGTAAGACACTTACATTGAGCAAGTACATTGATAAAAGCTGTCCAGCACAAGGTGATTTCCTGCAGAAAATCCAGGACTTAATCATTGAGTCCTTCTTGAAGGAGGACACACATGGAGAAAGTACAGAGATATGTAATTACTAGAAATGTTAAGCTGCTCCCACTCTT